CAATGTATATTAGAAGAAAGCTTCGTCCTGTCTTTCCTTACAGCAAACCTAATTCCTTTTAAATAAATATACTTATGATTTAGCAAAACTGAGAGCCTATTTCCCCCAATAACTTTAAATAGGAGGGAAGTTTTCCAAACCAAAGCCCTTCCAATTATCAAATCCACTCAATTGATCAAAATAACCTGTCCAACTATATGCCAGACTATCAGGTTAAATTTCGTCTTGAATTTTGTTTGCAGCACTCGCAGAACTGTATTATAATGCTAACAATGATGGCAACGTTTTTAGCGCACCAAGAAGGTGCCACCGTCAGAATATATAAAATAAAATAGTTTTCGAAGACATGCAACCTACTGAGTGGTCACCGATTCTTTATTTAATGCGATTTAATACTGATATGGGAAATTTATGTAATTTTTTGTAAAAAGGTTAGCTCAATTACCGTTTTGGCGAGTGATCGGTGAGCTAGGGAATCTACCATCGCCTATCGCTTGGAGCCAATGAAGAGAATGCCTCTTACCTGTCATGCTGTTTGAAGACATTCAAAGCTAATGGATAGAGTGAATGTTTCGGTGTCTGATATTTCATCCTGCTGATTCAAATAATACCTTTGGGTTGTCCACACACAGCATGAAAGTACCATAATCGCCCTTGGTATTTCTTCCAATACTCAAGATAAAGTAGCTTCTTTTGGAGGTACAATCACCTGCACATGCATGATTGCAGAAGCACGCGAGAAAGACTACAGTTGAATTAACGCACATTTCACTTCCACGTGTTTTCATCTTTCCAGCACCAAGTTTACTTAAAATGTTAACATCTGAAAGTAAAGAATAAAGGGTGAGCGTTAGCAAGCAGTTTATGAGAAGAAGAAGTCATTAGTGGAACACGGAGTTTGTGTGCCAGAGGTTTCGGATTCTCACTCGAAGCTATCATCAGAGGCAATCGCTAACAGATGTAGGGGAGACATAAAAAGTACAGTGTTTGGTGAACCTGTGTGACTCTAAGACGTGGCTTGCGTAGACCACTACAATTATCGCGCCCAGATCCGTGTAGGAATATAAGGCGTAAGACAAGTAAGATTTGGCTTTGCATAAGGAACCTCAGTCGTGGTCTGGAGCCCCTACCCACGGCAGTCCAGGACACTGCACGAGCGTCTATTTGCTAGCGTGTTGTGGACGTGAATGGCTCAACTTCATGCTGGCGTGAGTCACTGTTTGTTTGTTCAACTGTTTGCCCAATAGCAGGCTATGACACCTGTGACTGGGTGTCTCAAAGGAAAATGGAGGAGCGCAATCACGTGACGGCTGACGGGTTTGGTGCTGGCGCTGGATGGCGCTACAAACCTAGTTCCCGTGCTTATTTGGCTTACGTACTCTAATTACCCTATATCATGATCTTGGTTGAGTCCCATATCTGATGTGGTGGGGGCTTGACAGTCCCTGTCAGAATCACATATTGCCGCAAGCTTCACGTAACATGGTTTTAAGGCCCACAGTCTATCAATAAACGCAAAGATCACCGCGTCTGTATTCGGTGCTGGAACTTTGCCTGGGTAGAGGAGTTAGCATCGTGACGAGGGAGCGCAGACAACCAACTCTTCCAATGACAACAAGCTAAATTGCTGAGGAACGATAAACTTAAAATCTTACACAGATTACATTCTGCGTCTCACACGTTTGCATGTATTGACAATGTTCCGCTTGGCATCCTGCTAACCCTATAGTGTACACGAGGCCTGTCATTTAGTAGCATACTGGGAATTAATTCAGTAGTTATTTTTGATATTTGGATTTTCGATCGGAGTCATCTCTGTGGTGAGTTTTAGCCCTACAAGAACTACGCACATTGTATTCCCCTCTTGTGCCCTTTTCTGTGACTGTCAATGATGATACTTGCGAGTGAGAATCAGCAAAATTGAACTCGCTCGTAGATAAATTCGCGTAAAAAGTAGCTCTGGTTGATTTTAAGGCGATAAAAACATTACTTTGATACACACAAAAAGGCTTATACATCGGCTTGTCTTACATGCGTATGTCATATGAAAATAATGTTCAAACAAGCTTGTTATCTAACATAAACGGCCTAGTTTAGAGGTTTTTTTAGTTTTTGAAAGCATTTCAAATATAAGCCTTTTCTGTCCATGCCTGTTTTAAGAAAATTCAAACAAGTTTTTTTTTCAAAAACTAGGCTTCAGTTTACTAGATTGTCTAACCTTCCACATTTACCGGTTTAAATATCTAGAACTGCTGAAGCAGCTTCTTGCGATGGAAGCAACTTAACTATTGTGCAGAGGATGTCGAATAAGATTCGTATCAATTTTCAGATCGCGGAAGATGATAGGATGCGTTTGCAGAAAAGAGAGTTAAAAGCACACGCTAAATATCATTCCCTGAGAGAGCTTAGTAACACAAGAACGGTAACCAGCCCGCCAGATGGCTAACAAGATTCACACAAGAGAAGGAAAGCAACGCTTTCTCTTGTCGCAAGAAAGTTTGCAGTTGTGCTAAGTTAGTGGAAAATGTTTGCTTTTTGCAGTTCTCCACGGGAACATGTGATGGTTTTTTTTAAACTGCTCCAATACATCCTTACGCAGTAGTGGTGCGGAAATATTTTTTGACAAATTGCAAATTAAAATGCATATTCAAAGACGTCAAAAACAAGTCCAAGACGTTCTATCCGCCAAAACCCACGACTTCTTCGCAAAAACTTTTAGCACGCCTTCACAAAGAGCATGGAATGCTTTCCACCCAGAGGATTACTTCCGGGCTCTGTTCTAAGAGTCGCTGAATTTGTATTAGAATATTGCAATAATAATTATTTTTTGCCTGTTCCGTTTCTACATAAAGCATAAGCGGAAACTATAATGTACGAAACGTATGTTTCTGCATGACCTACCTTTACTAAAATCTGCCTCTATCATGACCTTCATGATAACATATGGACAGTTTTGGGTACATCCCAAAAAGTTAATGCAGTAAAACAAAATTTAGTCAAAACTTCTTGTAAATCCATTTTGTGTCAGAAAACTTCACAGCTCAAAAATTAAAATTTTCTTTGTATACGGAAAAAATGCGATCTCTTAAGATTTGATTCACCTGCATTTGAGAAAATTCGGGCCATATTTTTCTGTTCTGAAGGTAATATGTTTTAAACTTTCCTCACTTATTTTGGGAGTCTCGCATAGAATAATGCGTATATATAAAATTTTGATTCTTTCCTATGTAAAAGCATAGCAATTATCTTCGATATTCGGTTTCTCTCGAGTTAGCCAAAAGTTATGTCGTTTTAAGTTGATTTAAGTCATGTTAAGTCATTTCTGGGAAGTCACATTATTTTTCAGAAATAAGGAACAATTGGATTTTTAAAA